TCATCATTCGTCATCATTACAGCCCTTTACAAGTCCACTGCTGAACATAGGCCTCCCCTAAAGAATGCCACCAAGCACGGTCATGAGCCACATGCATCCATCGACTTCCTGCATGTTTTACCAGGTCGTCACTCCATCTAGTGGGGGGACGCCCAACACTTAGCCTGCCGGTACGAGGCTGCCACTCGAGAACATTTTTTCCCCATCGGTTATCGGTTCTTCGAGTCATGTGGCTGGCCCATTGGCTCTTTAGCTTACTAATCCGTTGGGCTATGTCGGTTACTATAGTTCTACAGCGAATAACCTCATTCTTAAGTTTATCACGCAGAGAAACTCCGAGCATAAGCCTCTCCATAGCTCGCTGGGTGACTTTGAACTTCCTCATACGGCCGGCAGTGAAGGACCACGTCACACATCCATAGGTCATCGCTGGCAACACGCTCTGGTTGTACAATCGAGTTTTGAGATTTTAAGGTATGCCCGACGAGAAGATGTGTCGCAATCTCCTGAACGCTGCCCAGCCGAGTTGAATCCGTCGATTGACCTCTCGGTCGAAGTCGGACTTACCTAGTCGGACTACTTGTCCTAGGTAAACATATTCGTCAACAACTTCGAGTTTAATGCTCCCAACAACCACCGGCATAGGTGTGACATGGACATTACACATGACTTTCGTTTTGTCCATGTTCATCTTAAGACCTATCCGTTGGGAGACACTAGTGAGGTCATTGAGCATAGTGCTTAGGTCCTCCAGCGATTCTGCCATAAGGACTATATCGTCGGCAAATCGAAGGTGAGTGGTGAACTCGCCATTGACTTTATTTAATCATTTTTAACGTTAATACTATGTCCTTTCCAGTCCAGTAGCTTGAAAAGGTCTTCCAATGCAGCGGTAAAGAGTTTCGGGGATATTACGTCACCGTGTCTTACACGTCTCTGCAGTTGGATAGGTTTCGTACTCTGGTTCTGTACTCGGATAGCCATTGTAGCCCTACTGTACAAACACTTCAGCCCCTCGATATACCGACATTTAACCTGGGATCGCTGAAGGGACTGCAGCACCACCCAAATTTCGTCGGAATCAAAGGCTTTACCACAGTTTACATACGCAAGACAAAGTGGCAGATTGTACTATTCGAACTTGTGTACAATCTGCCGCAGAGTATATATGTGAACTATGGTACTGAAGCCTTTTCGGAAACCGGCTTGTTCGGGAGGCTGGAAATCGTCGAGTTTTATATGTTATGTTATATACACAATATATGTCTCGAGCCGTTCGTTGTGTATTTCATGGTACGCTACCAGTGAGGATTAGATCACCGCCGGCACCAATGAAATTGTTAAGTTATTGTATACAATGCATTAGCGTCTAACAACCGCTTAATACAATTACACTAAATAATTGGCGGATAATTAAAAAAATACCGTAAGCCCGTTTAGTGCGTTCCAAATACCTGGTAGAGGAATTAAGAATTTTTGAGCCTGTCATGTTGTGATCTACACGTAAGTCAAGATGTACAAAAATGTCGATTGTTTTCGGTTAACACCTTAGGTTAGCACTGCGCCGGAGTAGGTCAGTTTTTAATTGAATTCGACAGAACGGTGATTATACACGCACGTTTAACTGACAATGCGTTTTAAATTAGCATTGCATTTCTGCTTTTAAAAGTTTGAAATAGAGTCGACATTTGATGTCATATCGTGGGGTATTTTACGCACTACTTTATATATTCAAAATATAACCCGGTAATACGAATTTAAATTTAGATGTATAACAAAACATTCGTTTTTTTTTTTTAATGTAATAGAAACTAGCAATGCAAACTATATCGTTAATAGTTTCATATTGTTCATGACATTAGGTGACAAGTACAACGGACTTAAACCTACGACGACATAAATTTTCTCAATTCGTACCTTAACTGTTTAACTGAACATATAGCCCACTTGATGGTAGGTCAGTAGCCACTGCTGTTCATGGACACCTGCAAAAAACTTCACACTAGGAAGGCTATAGATTTACCGAATCATCTGACTTGGACTGAGACGGAAATGTATCTATTATACTCTATCGTATATTTCGCAATAACCGGTCTTTTTATCTTTGAAATGAAAGTACGTACTTAGTAATGAATTATTTTATTTTAACTAATTTTACTGGTATTTTATACGTGGTAGAGCCATGCTGCAGTTATATTAGTAGTATAGTTGTAGCACGAATGGGTCGACTCAACCGGGAAAGGACCACGCTCTCACAGAATACCAGCGTAAAATAGTAGCTTAATGCTGCTGTGTTTCGTATGGTGAGAGTAGAGAACCGGAGACCATTTTACTGGAAACGAGGCATTCCATCTTAGTCCTCACGGGTGACAACACACCTGCATTTGGATTCGTAATCGAGGATAGATGTAGATGTCTATGGGCCACGTCAACCACTTACCATCAGATGGACTGTGTGCTCGTTTGTCACCCGATCCTATAAAAAAAACATGCGTAAGAGTCGTTCGGTAGACAAAAACGCTGATGCCCATAAATTACATTTAATTTGGGATAATTTCAAATAAAAGTAGAAGTCTTATTTACTCGTATTTCCAAAACCTGCAATTACAATATCATCATTATTTGTATATTTCAACTTAAGTTTAAATTTGGCTACTCTATGACAAATAATCCTGTATATCATTCAGACCTGAACATATCAGTGCAGGCACTGTTATTTGGCGGCAGATTTAGAATATCCAGACGGACTCCTAGATGTTAAACCCTAGATAATAAGAGTTCTTGCTTTTTACATTGTTTATAGATTTTTCTGCAAATATCCAGCGAAAAATAACAATCTCATGTGTTTCATATGGTGAGGGTAAAGAACCGGAGACTCTTTACACTGGAAACGAGGCGTTCCATCTTAGTCCTCAGGGGTGACCAGGCAGGCATTTTGATTCTTAATTAAGGATTAATGTACCTAGATGTAATGCAGATTTTTCATAATAGTTTCCTGCCATATAATATTGCACTCATCATCGTAGTTATCACTTGCTATTATTAAGTCCAACGTAACTTAAGTGATATCACAAATGTAGAGTAATATATTTTGCACAGTAATTGTACTGCCGTTGTAATATATGCGGACAAAACGGCTGCAGTTGAAAGCGAAATATGTTGAAAGCAGTATGCGTATATATACTGACAGCTCCGTGGCGCAGTGCCTTAGCAATGAGTTGCAGCGTTCGATTCCCGCGCGGGACAATTGTTTATATTTATATGGCCTTCAAATTAATTGTTCCGGGTTTGGATATTTGTTGTATATATATATGTGTGTAATTTATGTATATAAACTGCTTCCATAATACAAGAGAAAATTCTAGTGTCCGAGTAACGTTTTAACTACAATGTAATAAATCTAAAATAAACTTAGGTATAATCTTAGTTTATATAAATTACGTGTCACGTTGTTTGTCCGCGATGGACTCCCAAACTACTTAACCGATTTTAATCTTTGCACACCGTGTGCAGTTTGGTCCAACTTGAGAGATAGGATAGTTTTTTTGCCCATGAGTGACCAACAATTTTTTTTGCGAATTTAAGGATTTTTAATAGAACATGACAAAGGGTCGTCGAAAAGGGTAGAACAACGTCTACCCGACAAGCTGGGCCACAGTACCTTGAACATACTAAAAGATACCAAATATATAATGAATATATATATATATATATTAGCATGAAAAATCTGGGGTATGACGAAAATGTGCAAGTATAAAATATATCTTAGATTATAATATTATGCGATATTCTATGGCCCCAGCTTGGTAAAACCTATAAACATTACGAATGCAATACAGGAATAATTACAATGCCATTACTGTTGAAGTAGGTACCTACTATACTATCTCTGTACGTAACTGTGCATTGACGCACAAGGAACCAGAGCGGGTCGTACATTTGTTCCTGGAACGCTAGCCGTGCAAAATGACTGTTCAAATGAGATGACTGCACTGTATCAGTTAGGGCATGCAATTCGGATATCCGGATATCCAAATTATTCGGATATTCGCCTCGTTTATTATTCGAATAGTATATTTATAATTATTCGGTTTTTACGAATATTTCGAATACTATCTTATTTTGATATTTTAAAATATCCGAACGTAAACCTACTAAGTTACGTGAAAAACATGCGTGGATCCGATTGTGGGTGATCATTCATCACGTAGCCAAAGCCGAAAATATGAAAAAAAAAACTACTTAGCATGTATGCATAGTGCGAACGGTTTTACATTTCGTATCTTTGCGATATTGTTGTGAGTTGTGATGAATTTCAACAACAAATAATAGTATTTGGTTTGATCGAAATACCCAAGATAAACTTAGATGATAGGTAGGTAATCTACATTAACAATTACATTGCGCCGCTTTTTATTATTGATATTCCAATTGGACGATGCTTAATTCTACCTCTAATTTATAGGTTATGTTATGCTTGTGTAGCAGTTTATTTGTTTTGCAATTCCTATTGGCACACTTTTGTTTTAAATACTTACTTTATAAAATGCTTTTTTCTATCATATTTTTTTAACGATAGATAAACATAATGCAAGCTTTACTAAGCACGTGAAATAAACGGCTGTTAATTTGGAATGTGCTGTTTTTGTGATTTACCATTTTTGATCTCGTTTCGGTGTTTTTTTTTGTAGTTGCGTTATCGTATAAAGCTTAAGCTGGGTTGGTACAGTGGCTTTTGTTCAAAGTTCAAAATATTTTATTGTTAATCCAGATAAATAAGGGGTTACAATTAGATAGGTACAGTATCGCTGAATTTTGCAGACAATTGTGTACAGCGTGCAATAATTACAATTCTTAACTTGTGATAACAATAACATAAACCAAAAACAAATTCTAAATTGGTTCTAAATTCTAAAGCAGTTCCAAATATTTATATATCTCTGAAGAAACTTATTAACAAATATATTTGGTGTTGTGTTTTCTCTTTCCACAGATTAAAGATGGATGAAAAAAATAAACTTGAATTTAAAGAATATACTCGCTGTGCTGCAGATAAGTCTTCTGTTTGGCAACATTTTTTGCGGACATCAGATGGCCTTCATGCTCAATGCAAGATGTGTAAAAAAGTATTTAAAACCTCTGGAACAACTTCAAGCCTGCATAATCATCTTAGACTTGTTCATTCTATCCAGTTAGCTAAAAAAACATCTAACTATTCACTTCCGTCAACATCTCAAAAAGATATGTCATTAGATTCCGATGTCATAATGACGCCAGCAACAAAAAAGGCTAAAACAATAAATGACTTTTTTCATGTGAAGGAAGAAGATGACTTAGATACTATACTTGCGAAAATGACAGCAGTAGATGGTGTACCGTTTAAAATATTCTGTTCTTCGGAATCAATGAGAAAGCTATTTGGAAAAGCTGCTTACAAAAATTTGCCTAAATCACCAAATACAATAAAGAAAAAGGTTCTGAATAAAAGTGAGCTACTGAAAAAAGAAGTAAAAAAGGAGCTTGATGATATTAAGGCAGCAGGAAAACAATTGGCTGTAAGCCTAGATGAATGGACAAGTGCACGTAATCGCAGATATGTGAACGTAAATGTTCATTCACCAGAGCTTTCTGAAGGTTTTAGAAACTTGGGACTGACGAAAATAAGGGGCCGTGGAACAGCAGAGAACTGTTATAATATATTGAACGAAAAATTGGTATATTACGGCTTGTCAATACAAAACGATATCTCGTGCATAATCTCTGACGGTGCAAGCGTAATGTGCGCACTAGGGAGAATGGTTCCCTCTTATCATCAATTATGCTTGGCCCATGGTATTCAGTGCGCTGTCCTGGACGTGCTATACAAAGCTGATAACACAGAAGGTAACACCGGCATCACTGTTAACAGACCTTGCGATAGCTCTGACTCTGAGGACGAAAGTGATATAGAGAACGAAGATGAAAATCGTTTTGTCATCGAAGCTGACCCCAGTGGGGTCATTCCCAAGCTGGTTTATAAAGAATTGATAACTAAAGTCCGGAAAATAGTAAAATTTCTCAAAGGTTCGCCTACTCGCATGGATATACTCAATTCTTACCTGGAGTCCAAATCTAAAGACACGACACTGATCCTCGATTGCAAGACTCGTTGGAGCAGCCTTGCTGATATGATAGCAAGATTTCTAGAATTCAAAGACGCAATTCAAAAGACATTAATTGATCTCAAAGAGAAGACTACCTTTTCGGATACTGAAATATTAATTTTGAAAGATATGTCTAGTTCTCTCAATTTCATAAAGGCCACAGTTGAAGAACTTTGCGAGCGAAAATCAAACTTACTAACCGCAGAAATTGCACTTCAATTCATGATGGAGAAATTGGCGATGAATCCAGACGTTATTAGTGGCCAGCTTAAAGAAGCTTTAAATAGAAGAATCTTGCAGAGGAGAAACGCTACATTGGTAAGTACGTTACAGTACTTACATAATCCTACAAAATATTATGACGAAAGGAATACTCCTCATGCATTTTCAAAGGCATCCCATGCGGAAATAATAGCCTTAATTGTAAAAATCAATGAGACTTATTTTTGCAAAGATAAAGCTGCTACAACTGTCTTTGAAGCTGAAGATGGCCTGCCTTTAAGAGAAATACAAAGACAGCAGCGCCTTGAAGATGAGAGGGAACAGGATACAGCCAAGACATTCAAGGAACAGTTAAAGACAAAAGTTAATGAAACCTTGCACAATACTGCTGAGGTATCAACAAAACATTTGTCCGAAAACGATGACTTGGAAACGTCTGTCAGGGTGGAAATGGCGCTATTAGATCGAAGTGGCCCTAAAAGCATTCATCTACAACGTGTTTACGATTTTTTACTTACCATCCCACCTACAAGCGTTGAAGCAGAACGTGTATTTTCGGCTAATAGATATTTTTACAATCATTTGAGATGTTCATTCAATGACGATACGTTAGACGCCCTCAGTTTCCTGCGGTCATACTTTATGAACACAAGAAAGTAATTTATTGTATTTTTAATTAAGTGTGGATGATTAAAAAGGTTCCTAATTAAAATGTTTAAGTAATAATAATGTTTCTTTTCATAAACTTAAGCACTATTCGTAAAATTCGTATTATTCGAAGTATTCGGATATTTTTTATTCGGTTATTCGGAAAATCCGAATACCTTTTTTGGACGAATAATGCATGCCCTGGTATCAGTTCAGATCAGATGGCCTCATAAAGGCGGACACGGGATGAGCGCGATGCGTGAAGCTCTATTATTCTCGGGTATAAACCGATACGGATCACTCACCCGCTACATTAAATGGCAACTTCACTCATAAATATGCTATTACAATTAAAAAAACTACACTGAAAATATAATGCATTAAATTTTAAAGCAATATTATTGATTGATTAAAACTACTTTTACAGAATTTATCGTGTTTTATTTATTTTATTTTTAATACCCGACGTTTCGCACCCACGGTCACGGGGGACTGAGGTGACTCCCCCTTGACCATGGGTGTGGAAAGCACCCGAAACGTCGGGTATTAAAAATAAAACGCGATAAAATCCGTAAAACTAGTTTTAATCAACGTATAGTCACGGTAATATTATCTATAGTATAGTGTTCGCGTAAATATAAGAAATCATTATGCGATATTAATAATTTAAATTATAACATAAGTATGTTAAATAACATAATGATATACCTATACAATACTTAAGAAAAACTAAAAAAATATATTACGTAAATGAGCGAATGTTTGTGTTTGTAAAGTATAAAATAACGCTTAAGTACATGCAATATTACTGTTAAGATTGTTATAAAATTCGTGGAAACAATGACGGCCAAAAAGTAGGTAATTTAAGCAGATTACTACGACATTTTGAAAGTAGCTACAGTGTAGCGTCAAAACATATCTAAGTATAAAGAAGGTTATGAACCTTGTTTTATGTCTTTTAAGGTCTAAGAAAGTCTTATAAACCGCACAAAAATTATCTTTATTAATTAAAAAGATACCAGAGAGAATAAATGAAACCATAATGAGGGATCATTTATAAAGTTTAGAATTACCTATATAGGTACATGTCGTATAATGGCGACGTAAAAGAATCCACTGGCCTCTACTCCATATTATGATTACGTGGGTGCTGTAGGACGTGACAAGGGAAAGTGAGCTGGTGAGGCCTGTGTTAAGTAAGGGACTTTTGACTGTTGAATGTATATAATAATAAACAAATACTTATACTATTAAATTTCCCATAACAACAACAATTTTAACAATTTCCTATAAGCACTCATCATTATTCTAACCCTCCCGTAATATACCTTCCCTCCGTACAATAAAATAGTAGGTGCGAACCGGCATCACAATAGAAAACATAGAGTGACAACTCCGAAGGAACAACAAATGTCAGCTGGAGCCATTTCTCAAATGACAATTAATAAAATAAAAATACTTATAATTGCTTCCCCTGTCTCATTTTATATCAAATAGGATAGAATTGCTTTTATTCAATATAGATTAGGAGTAATTCTTATTGAAAGCTATATTTTACTTTTACCACTGGTCCGAGAAAACCTCTGTCCTGGGAAGAGTCACTAAGAAATCCAGCGGGATATAATTTTTCTTAAAGTAAAATGTTACAATAAAATACAAGTTGTATGAACTATTTACAAAACTTATATAAGAAACAGTTTGGAAGCGTGGTAGACCCATGCTGCAGCTATATTATGGTGGTAGCACAAATTGGGTCCGCTCGACCAGGGGTGGACCACGTTCTCACAAAATAGCAGTGTAAAATAACAGCTCGATGCTGCTGTGTTTCATATCATCGTATGAAGGATACTGTCTGTGGCCCACACAGCATCCACTTACCATCAGGTGGGCTATGTGCCAGTTTGTCACCCAGATTTTTTAAAAAGCGAACCACTTATTTCAGCGGTAATTACATACCAACCATGTATTCGTTTATATTATAATTTTATACGGTTTCTGTAAAATATTTAAACATGGTAATAGAGGAACTGTGTATATTTTTTGAGACTGTTGTAATGTCGTATTCATAGCGCCCCATCAATGAATTACTCTGTGGAATCGAGAAACTGGTATTACTAGCTTGTGTTTGTTCTTAGTGTTTACAGAGTCTACTTTCATAATTTTTTTATTAAATTTACTTTTGATTGGTTTTGTGGACATACATAAAATTTTCGTAAATATACTAAGAAGCCAAAGTAAATATATTTATTTCTTTTAATTTCTCTCAGAGAGACTTTCTTTTTTGTTTATTGTAAATAGCTCTTATACAAATAAGGCCCTTTTCTGAAAAACAAGAGTAGTTTCTTAAACAGTCGCATTCCCCCATAGCGAAATACTATAAAACAAAATTATGCTATGGAAAAAACTGAAATAAACTTATCTAGTTGTCTCGATACTAGTTAGACTTCTTTTCTTTTTCATAGCATAAGCTGCAGAGGTTCGTCTTTAAACTGGTATTGTAAATTTTATAAATTGTTTTATTGCCGTTTAAATGTAGATTATTAACGTTGACCAATGCACTTATTTTAATATAGCATTATTCACTTCGTCATATTTATATTATGGCGTTTTTTATTTCTAAATTTAAAATTCATAAACTCGTCATATTATATTGGATATAAACTATCCATCAATTTGACATTAATACATATTCAAATAGAGAAGATCTTGTAGATTTTCTACGCTCGGACAACTGGTTTCACACTAGTCATAATTATCGATCATATCGTCATAGTCAGGTTCTCTATCCATAAGCATTTCGACCGACATTTCATGTTTTCCATCACCCGATTGTATAAATATATCATTAAACATGATTTTGTATTGTGACTTTAGTTACATTACGTTGAACACACCATGCTATGGCTATCGGCTAGTCAGGTCAAATGTCGGAACTCGGTGTTCATTCAACACTGAACTGTACAGACCTATGTCCTAAGTAATGTAGGGCCCACTACCCCTAACGCGGTCTAAAAAGTACACCGTGAGTATTCCAAATTTCAACTACCACCGTGGGAGAAACACTCTTTTATTCTTACTTTGTAAGTATGTACGAATGTAATGGAATTTTATAATTCAGTTTTACCCATTGCCAGACGTCTGAATTTTTAGAAATTTCGCAGGACGTGATCAAGTCGTAAGTATTTTCAAGCATTATTATTAGATTCACATGTATGTATGTATTTTAACTGCGCAATGAATACACAACGACAATTAGCTAATCATGAACCGTGTCCAAAAACATTTAGGTATTTCCTCATGAACTCAGGACAAAGCGTTGCGCATGACGCTTTTGCATCCGTTTTGTACCATGAAGCATTGTAGATAATCGTAACAGACGAAAATTGAATTCGGCCATGATGTTTCTAGTTTTAAAAACTAATTTTGAAAAGCAATTACACCTATATTAAGTAGTTTTGATGTGTCGTATGAATATTCATATCGATGTATTGCGGAACAATATGTTATTGGCCTTGTAACGTATAGTTACAGCCTAAATGGAAATATTTTTATCATTAGTAGATGTGTAGTGTAAAAAAGACGTCAATTAAATATAATTATTATTATAAAATCCTGAGCCATTCCAGTTTATGAAAGTATATGATAGTGAAATAATAATATGGTTGTTTTACCAAAGTTACGAAAAATACGGCACACCTTTCACTTTCTGCGTCAATAGTAGGTATATATAATATATATTGTAGTGATTTAAGTAAAAGGCTACTTAAGCCAAATAAAAGGAAAACTTACATAAAGTATGCTCTGGCACGTTTCTTTAAGCGAACTTTTGATTTTTTACTTAACCTAAAATCTACGTTTTTTGTGTTAGTACAATTTTTTGTGTTAATATTTTTTTTTTGTTATGAGAAAATAACAAAGATAATTTTCTTAAATTTATTTTATCTACAATAATATATTATTTTCTGTAATACTTCTAAGACCTAATCTAAGAATACCTAAGTATATTGTTTTCTCACTCGTATATAAGTAGAGATGGGCCGAATATTCGTTTTATAGTCGGTATTCGGCATATTCGGTAGATTTACCGAATATTCGTATTCGGTCGAATATTCGGCTAAATCACTGAACATTCGTATTCATAGTGTCCAATGTATTGAAATGTACGATTTTAGTAATGCGATGTCTTTTACTGTTGACAGTATATTTTATTTATGGGTTAAATCTACTCACTTTAGAGTGCCTCAAATGCATAAATCTATACATTTATGTGTTTGAGGCACTGTAGATTTATTTTCGATTATAGCAAATAGAAACTTGATAAAATGTTTTAAAGTCATACAAAGAAACATCTCAGTCCCGCCCGTGACCATGAGTGCTGTAAAGCGTTCGAAACGTCGGGTATTTAAAAAGTTAAATATACGCGATAAATTCCGTAAAAACTAGTATTATTTCAAAGAAACATTACATCACATTAGTACCTACATTTCACTTTTCTTTGATCGTCAGTTTCTCTAAAATAAGTCCAAATAGTAAATCTCCTGCTGCTCATTTTTATCATATAATTATCAATTTTCACTAAGAATAAAACAACGAAATACTTTTTTTATCACAAAAATAGTCAAAACATAAACATGTGCCGGCAATTTCCTCAGTACTATATTATGATGCAATAACTGTCAGGTGTGGCAGGGAGAGAGAGGCAGGGTCCGGCACCAATCCCGCGCGGTTTATGGTAACAAGTTTCGACATAAATTAGTTGGGTCCCGAGGCTATTCTACCGAATAATGTTCGGCCGAATATTTGGTTCGGTAAGACTTTTACCGAACATTCGGCCGAATATTCGGCCGA